GGGTGCACCAGTATACACTACCACCAACAGTGCAATAGAGTTCCTTTTTCCCAACACCCTCTCCAGCATTTTGTTGTTGGTAATTCTCTTGATCCTGGCCATTCATTCTGGAGTGAGATGGAATCTCAGTGTGGTTTTAATTTGCATTTCTCTAATAAGTAATGATGCTGAACATTTTTTCATGTATTTATTTACCATTTGTATTTCTTCATCTGAGAACTGTGTATTCATCTCAGATGTCCATTATTGGATTGGGTCCTTGAATTTCAGGGTTCTAATTTTTAAAAATTCTTTATGTTTTAGACAGAAGTACTTTGTCTGAGGGACAGATAACTAAGATTTTTTTCCCAGTTTGTGGGTTTTCTTTTCACTATACTGGAGATATCTTTTGACATGAAGAACCTTTTTAATAAGACGAGATCCCAGCTATTGATTCTGGGAAGTAGTGTGATTTGATTCCTGTTCATGAATTCTCTACCTACCCCTATGTCTTCAAGATTTTTACCTACTTTGTCTTCCAATAGATTTAGTGTTTCTGTTTTAATATTCAGATCTTTGATCCATTTAGATTTTAATTTAGTACATGGGGATAGGCATGGGTCTGGCTTTAGTTTTCAGCATATGGAGAGCCAGTTTTTCCAGCACCATTTATTAAAGAGACTGTCGTTCTTCCAGTGAACATGTTTGGCCCCTTTATCAAGATAAGGTGGTGGAGTTTGTTTGTAGTTGTGGTAGTATCTTCTAATATATTCCATTGATCTTCAGCTCTGTTTTTATTCCAGTACCATGTTGATTTTACTACAATTGCTTTGTAGTATAACTTCAAGTCAGGGATTGTGATGCCTCCTGCCTTGCCTTTGCTGCTCTAGAACTGCCTTTGCTATTATAGGTCTCTTCTGGTTCCAGATGAATTTTAGGAGTAATTTCTCTAGATCTATGAGGTATGTTGAATGTATTTTCTTTGGTATTGCATTGAATCTGTATAAGAGTTTAGGGAGAATGGCCATTTTCACAATATTTGTTCTTCCTATTCATGAAAAAGCAATGTTTTCCATTTTCTGAGATTTTCTGTGATTTCTTTTTTCAGAGTATTATAATTTTCCCTGCAAAGAACTTTTACTAGTTTTGTGAGATTAACTCCTAAGTATTTCATTTTTTAAGATGTTAGTATGGAGGGTGTGGCTTCCCTTATTTCTCTCTCAGTGATTTTGTTGTTAGTGTGTAGAAATGCTATTGATTTTTAAGTATTGATTTTGTATCCAGCTACATTGCTGAATTTATTTATTATATCTAGGAGTCTTTCAATGGAGTTTTGGGGGTCTTCTATGTAGAGTATCATGTCATCTGCAAATAATGATAATTTAACTTCCTCTTTTACAATTTTTATCCTTTTATTTGTCTCTCTTGTCTAATTGCTCTGGCTAGTATTTCCAGTACTATACTGAATAGGAGTGGTGATAAGGGACATACTTATCTTGTGCCTGATTTTAAGGTAAAGGCTTTCAGTTTTTGGCAGTTTAATATGATGCTGGCTGTTGGTTTGTCATAGATAGCTTTTATCATATTGAGGTAAAGACCATCTATTCCAATTTACTGTAAGTTTCTTATCATGAATGAATATTGGACCTTATCAAAAGCTTTTTCTGCATCTATAGAGATGATCATGTGATTCTTTTGGCTTTATTGATATGGTGGATAACATTTAGTGATTTACATATGTTGAACCATCCCTGCATGCCTGGAATGAATCCCACTTGGTAATGCTGTATAATATTTTTGATGATTTGCTGCATCCTATATGCCAATATTTTATTGAGGATTTTGGCATCTGTGTTCATTAGGGAGGTGGTCTGTATTTCTCTTTTTTAGTTGAGTCTTTCTCAGGTTTTGGTAGTAGAGTAATATTTGCTTCCAGGAATGACTTCCCTTTTGATTTCATTGAAGAGTTTGAGAAGTGTCAGTATTAAGTCTTCTTTGTATTTCATGTAGAATTCCACAGTGAATCCATCTGAGCCTGGGCTCTTCTTTGTAGGTAAGGACTTAATTACATTTTCAATTTATTTAATAGAAATTGGGTTATTCCTCAGTTTTACATCTCCTTGACTCAGCTTTGGTATTTCATATGTTTCTAGGAATCTGTCCATTTCTTCTGTGTTATTGAACCTTTGAGAGTAGAGGTCTTCAAAATAGGTGTTGATGATCTTCTGTATTTCCACAGAGTCTGTAGTGATTTCACCTTTTTCATTCCTCATTGCATGAATTTTAGCTTTTTCTTTCCTTTTCTAAATTAGATTGGCTAGGGGCTTATCAATTTTATTTATTCTTTCAAAGAACCAACTCTTTGATTCATTGATTTTTTGGATCATTTTTTAGTCTCTATTGCATTCATCTCTGCTCTGATTTTTATACTATCCTCCCTTCTTTTGGCTTTGAGCTTGACTTGCTCTTCTTTTTCTAAATATTTGAAGTGTAGCATCAGGTTTTTTATTTGTATTTGTTCTCTTTTCCTGATGTGGGAACTCAGTGCAATAAATTTTCCTCTGAGGACTGCTTTCATTGCATCCCACAGATTCTGGTAAGTTGTATTTGTATTTTTGTTTGCTTGTAGGTATTGTTTAATTTCTTCTTTAATTTCCTCTGTGACCCACTGATTGCTCAAGAGTGTATTATTCAATTTCCATGTGTTTGTGGAGGTTTTTCAGTTTCTTTTCTCATTAATTTCTAGTTTCATGATGCTATGATCTGATAACATGCATGTGATTATTTCAACTCTTTTGCATTTATTTAATTGTATTCTGTGGGCTAGAATGTGGTCTATTTTAGAGAATGACCCATGTACTGCTGAGAAGAATATATATTCTGATGTTGTGGGATGGAACACCCTTTATATTTCTATCAAGTTCATTTGTTCACAGGTGTTAATCAGTTCTGTTATTTCTTTGCTGATTTTCTGTCTGCTTGAGCTGTCCTTCTGTGTCAATAGTGTGTTAAGTTCTCCTGTTATAACTGTGTTATTGCTAATTTGATTTTTCATTTCTATTAATACTTGCTTTGTATAACTGGGTGCTCTGGAATTTGGTGCATATGTATTTAAGATAGTTATCTCTTCCTCTTGAAGTATTCCCCTAAACAGTATGTAGTGATCTTCTTTATCTCTTCTGATCATTATTGGTTTGAAGTTCACATTGTCTGCAAACAGAATAGCTATCTACACGTTTTTGGAGGTTCCTGTTGCATGTAGTATTGTTTCCCATCCTTTGACTTTTAGTCTATGAGTTTCTTTTTGGGTTAGATTGGTTTCTTGTAGATAGCATATGGTTGGATGTTGTTTCTTGACCCATTCTGCCAGTCTGTTTCTTTTAATTGGTGAATTGAGACCATTTACATTAATGGTTATGACCGTTATATATTGTTTTATTGTTGACATGTTATCTTTCTGCTGTTACATCTTTGTCTCTCCATTGTGTTTAATTGTCTGCCTTGCCTAGTGGTTTTTTCCTATGTGTGTCTAGACTACCTTTCAGTATTCTTTGCAGGGTTGGTTTGGTGATGGTGAAGTTCTTCAGCTGTTCTTTGTCATGGAAGTATCTTATTTCTCCATCCATTTTTAAGGACAGTTTTACAGGGTACATCAGTCTAGGTTAGAAATAATTTTCCTTTAAGATCTGAAGTACTTCACTCCATGCTCTTCTTGACTTCATTGTCTGTGTTGAGAAGTCTGCTGTGGTTCTGATAGGCTTTCCTTTATAGATGATCTGTCTCTTCTCTCTAACAGGTTTTAATATTCTATTCTTATGTTGGATTTCTGGAATGGTGATTATTATATGTCTGGGTGTAGTTTTATTTTAGTTATGGCTATTTGGAACTCTATATGGTTCACTTATGTGTATCTCAGTTTCCATTCTCATGATTGGGAAATTTTCAGCTATTACTTCTATAAATAACCTCTTGATATCCTTTGTGTTGTCCCCTTCTTTTTCATTTATCCTTATCAATCTTATGTTGTTTTTCTTTGAATCATCTTCTAGCTGTTGAATTGTTGTTTCCCTTGTTATTTTTAAGAGATCTTTCCTTTCCTGTTCAGTAGCTGCAGTCTTGTCTTCAAGATCTGAAATTCTATCTTCACTTTTGTCTGCTTTATGTGTTCTTTTTGTCTCTTATATTGTTCATCCAGGGATTCTTTTTGTTTTGTTCCTCTAATTTTTTACTGTGTCTTCTTTAGATATGTTCAGCATCTCTTTGATTACTTTTATCATTTCTTCTTTTACCTGGGAGACTATTTCTAGTTTGAATTTCTTTAAAGCTTTCGGGAGTTATGTCTTTATTTCAGTTACTATTATTTCATGTATTTCAGGTGTATGGTATATATTTTCTTCTATGTACATGGCTCCTAGGCTTTCTTGTGATGGGCTGGATGTTTGAGATTGCATTTTGGTCTTTCTTTTTGTCATTTTCCTATATTTCCATGTCTCAAGTGTTGTTCCAAAGCTTCCCCTTGGTGTGTTGGACATCATCTCCTATGTCCTGGGCTCCTGAGGTTCCTCTGGCAACAAACCTCCCCACTTGGGCAGTGAAGCCCCTGGATTAAAAGAAGTTTACCAGGCATGGCCCAGACAGGCCCAAAGCCTCCTCCTGAAGCATAGCTCCCCCTCTGGTGTCAAATCTCCTCAGACTGAAAGAAGGCCACCAGTCATTGTCTAGTGTAGGGAGCCGAGTGACAGGCATTGCTGCCTAGATGTCTCTCTCTCTCTCTCCTATGGGCACTGCGTCTGCCTACATTAACCATAATCCTCTTCTGCTTACGTCACTTATCCGGATGTGATGGTAACCCTGTTGTATTCATCTGTTTAACCTCTTCCTGTCCCAGCTCCCGCCCTTAGCCTATAAAAGGTGTGATTATTTTCTCAATAAACCGGAGGCTTGATTGGGTTAACATCAACTTGCCTTCGTCTCTTTTTGTCTCCCCCATGTCTTTTGTTTAATCCCCGTTTCTCCTCCAGGAGTTCCGAACTTGTTGATCTGCAGGCCGGATCAAGTGGCGCTCAGCGTGGGAGCTCCTGGCACGGAGAAGTTAAAGAGGGAGCCGTTCGAGAGACAGCCGGCTTAAACCGAAAGTGAAAGCAAATTGAACCAGAGACCTCGGCCGAGGAATGAGTAAACTGAATCAAGGATTAAAGTTTAAAGCAACAGGACATTAAATCAAGTGCCGAGACCTGCGCAGGCGACTACCCGACGTCCTGCCCGAGTCACGGTGAGTGAACGGCAACCCCATTTCCCTTTCCCGACATGGGTCAAGTATTGAGCGAACATGAAGTGTTCGTCGGAGGCCTTATAAAGGCATTAAAGACAAGAGAGATAAGGGTTAAAAAAAAAGAATTATTACAGTATTTTCAGTTTATTCATAAGGTTTGCCCTTGGTTCCCCCTAGAGGGTTCTATAGATACCAAGAGGTGGAATACAGTAAGAGATGTTTTAAAAGATTATTATAGAGTTTTCGGTCCAAAAAAGGTTCCTGTGACCACCTTTACATATTGGAATTTAATTTCTGAGCTGCTTGCCCAGAGGCATGCAGACCCTCAGGTTGAGGAGACAGCTGCACTGGGTGAGGCTGCCTTGCGCGACTCCCTTAAATCTACCTCAAAATCGTCGTCAGAAAAATCTGAAGCCTCTGATTTCTCAGATGCAGAGAATGATGGCCTGTTAGAGGTCCTTGTACATGGTGATCTGCCACCACTTCCACCTGTTGACATGATCAACAGGTCCCAGGATGGCAGCCCGCCACTCCCTGTGCCTCCATGGCCAATTGGGGATTCATATAAGCCTTTAGACCCCAGCCTTTCTGATTCTCAGGAGGTCAACTGGAAACAACCAACACAACAAGCCTCTAGATATCACCCTAACCCTGCTGCAGCACCGGTCGCTATTAGGCCATCCCCTGACTATGATGATGCACTCAGCATCTGCTCTCAACCTTCTAGCACATTAGTGGAGTTGGAGCAGAGAAAAGCAGATCTTTTAAAACAGATACAGCTAGAAAAAAAATGCCAAGATCTTTCAATTCAATTGCAGGCCCTCCGAGCTACACAGTTTCATAGTGTCCCTGAGATGGAGCCTGCCTCCAGCACGCCTTGTAGTGTGCTTAAAATGGTGCCTGCCTCTGGCAGCCAGCCTAAAATGGCTTTCCCAGTCACAGAGGCCTTTACTCCCCCATGGGATGTTGAAGAGGGCACTAAACCACAAGCTGTTAGGATACACACACCTCTTACCGTGACAGCCTTAAAAGAGTTAAAGGCCGCAGTCTCTCAATATGGCCCGACTGCCGCCTACACCATGGCAGTTCTAGATTCTTTGACTCAGGGTTGGATTATTCCTAATGAGTGGAAAGACTTAGCAAAAGCCACCCTCTCCGGAGGCAATTATCTATTATGGAGATCTGAATTTTTTGATCAATGTGAGGACATAGCCAGAGACAACGCCACACGGCTTAGCCCCTGGACCCTTGCTATGCTTACAGGAACAGGAGATTTTGCCACAAAAGAGACCCAAATGCAGTTCGATTCGGGCCTCTTTGCCCAGATTAATATGGCAGCCATTAGAGCATGGAAACGGCTCCCCTCAGGAGGCGAGCCTACTTTATCTCTCACCCAAATAAAACAAAAGCCTGAGGAGCCCTTTTCGGACTTTGTCGATCGCCTCTTACAGGCGGCAGAGCGTCTTTTCGGCTCCACAGAAACAAACTCTGCCCTGGTTAAACAATTGGCTTATGAAAATGCAACCTCAGATTGTCAGGCTGCAATTCGACCACATCGCAAAAAAGAGGACTTATCGGGTTATATACGCTTATGTACAGATATTGGGCCAGTTTATCAAGGCCTAGCCATGGCTACAACACAACAAGGTTGCATAGTTACACAACCCCTTTCTCGTTCTAAAAAAGATGCCACTTGTTTCAAATGTGGCCAAAGTGGCCACACGGCTCGTGATTGCAAAAAAAAAAAATCAAAATCAGTCCTCTACAAAAAAGCCAGGGCTGTGTCCTAGATGTAAGCGAGGAGACCACTGGGCTAATGAGTGCAAGTCCAAAAGAGATGTTCACGGTAACCCTCTCTCCCCGCAGGGAAACGGGTTACGGGGCCGGCCCCAGGCCCCCAATTCCGGACAAACCCGTGGGGCTCCAAGGTTTGTCCCAGCAAAAAACCATCCATTTCAGACCTCTTCAGGGCAACCCCGGGGAGTGCAGGGTTGAACCTCTGTTCCGCCTCCAGCACAGTTTTAACCGCTGACATGGGTGTTCAGATCATACCCTCAGGAATCTATGGGCCCCCTCCCCCCGGAAGTTTTGGACTTATCATTGGACGTAGTAGCACTACGCTTAAAAGATTACAAGTTCTGCCCGGGATAGTAGATAGTGATTACACAGGAGAAATAAAGGTCATGGTTTCTCCCCTTGTCGGTGTCATACCAGTTAGGACAGGGCAACGCCTTGCTCAATTGCTGCTATTGCCATTGGCTCAAACATCTAACAAATGCATAACTCCCTATAGGAGGAACTCCTTTCCTGGAGCTTCAGATGTATATTGGGCACAACGTATCTCCAAACAAAAGCCCCTCATGACTCTGTCTTTAGATGGAAAAAGTTTCTCAGGCCTCATTGATACAGGCGCAGATGTTTCCATTATCAGAAAGGAGGAATGGCCTACTGCCTGGCCTTTAGAAACAACCTTAACACACCTCCAAGGGATTGGACACTCAAAAAATCCACAACGCAGTTCCAAACAACTGGTTTGGAGAGACCAAGAAGGTAATCAAGGACACTTACAACCTTATGTCATAGAGAGTCTGCCTCTTAATTTATGGGGTAGGGACTTACTCTCTCAAATGGGATTAATTATGGGAAGCCCTAATAATGTTGTCACAATGCAAATGCTTAGTAAGGGCTACCTGCCAAAACAGGGCTTAGGAAAAAATAACATGGGCATTACTGATCCCATCATTCCCATCCCTAACAATGGTAAAGTTGGGTTAGGCCATTTTTCTTAGGGGCCATTGACGCTCCTGCGATCCATGCTACACGAATTACATGGCTATCAGATGAGCCGGTATGGGTCGATCAGTGGCCCCTTAACTCTGAAAAGCTTGCAGCCGCAAGGCAGCTGGTGCAGGACCAGTTAGATGCAGGCCACATTGTTCCTAGTAATTCCCCTTGGAACACACCTATCTTTGTTATCCGGAAAAGGTCAGGAAAGTGGAGGCTGCTACAAGACCTTAGGGCGATAAATAAGACAATGGTCTTAATGGGGCCCCTACAACCAGGCCTCTCCTCACTCAGTGCCATTCCTTTAGGATTTTTTAAAATTGTCATAGATCTTAAAGATTGCTTTTTCTCTATTCCTTTACACTTCATGACTTCCAAAAACTATTGGGAGATATTAATTGGCTCATACCATTTTTAAAACTAACTAAACATGATTTACAGCCCCTTTATGCACTGCTTCGGGGAGACATAGATCCAACTTCCCCCCGAGAGCTTACACCTGATGCCAGGAGAGCGCTCAGTAAAGTAGAAGAGGCTATTGCTCAACAAACTGTTTCCTTTATGGACTACAATGAGCCTTTACAGTTTCTCATTTTTAATACAAAGCTTTGCCCTACAGCAGTGTTCTGGCAACAAGCTCCCCTCATGTGGGTCCATTTACCAGTCTCTCCAAAAAGAACACTTTTGCCTTATTTCCAAGCTGTCTCAGACCTAATAATCCAGGGTAGAAAGCAGGGAAAATGTTACTTTGGCAAAGAACCAGACGTTATCATTCAACCTTTTACAAAAGACCAAATAGATTGGCTACTTCAGAGTACTGAAGTGTGGCCTATTGCCTTAGCTTCCTATTCAGGGACTATTGACAATCATTACCCTCCAAATAAGCTAGTTGACTTTGCTAATCGTCACTCATTTATATTCCCTAAAGTCACAGCTTCGCAACCCCTTCCAGGTGCCCTGGTTTTATTCACTGATGGCTCATCCTCTGGAAGAGCTGCTTATGTATCTCAAGACAATGTTTCTACCCTCCAGGCAGATACTTCCTCTGCACAATTAACAGAGTTAGAAGCTATTCTTGCAGCTTTTGCTGCTTACTCTGACCAACCATTTAATTTGTATACTGACAGTGCTTATCTTGCCCAGTCTGTTCCATTATTAGAGACTGTTGCTATTATATGTCATGCTTCCCCAGCTGCAAATCTGTTCAAACAATTACAATGCTTCATACGGCTTCGCCGTCATAAGTTCTTTATCGGTCATCTGCGAGCTCATTCCAACCTCCCAGGGCCTCTTGCCCAAGGAAATCATTTGGCTGATGTTGCTGTACGAACACAGGTTTTTATGGCTCAGGACTCCAAGGTGTCTGAGGCCCAACAAGCCCACCAGTTACATCACCTCAATGCTCACACCCTCCGCCTTCTCTACAAAATTACCTGTGAGCAAGCCAGACAAATTGTAAAAAATTGCCCATCTTGTGCTATCCACTCACCTGTTCAACACCTAGGAGTCAACCCTAGAGGTTTAATTCCTAATGCCTTATGGCAAATGGATGTTACCCATTTCAATGAGTTTGGCAATCTAAAATATGTACATGTCATTATTGACACTTATAGTGGCTTCATTTTTGCCACTCTCCAGACTGGAGAAGCTGCTAAACACATTATAGCCCATATGCTGTCAGCCTTCTCAGTTCTGGGATGTCCTCAACAGCTTAAGACCGATAATGGCCCTGGCTATACCAGCACCTCCTTTGCTCAATTTTGTAAAAGCCTTAATATCCTCCACACTACAGGTATACCTTATAATCCTCAGGGACAAGGCATTGTTGAACGTGCGCATCGTTCTCTTAAATTCACCATAGATAAAATAAAAAGGGAGACATGGTACCCCACCTAGGGGTCCCCTAGAAATGTCCTTTCACATGCTCTTTTTATTTTAAATTTTCTGACCCTGGATGCTTCAGGCTGCTCCGCAGCATCTCGGTTTTGGCATACTCAGACTCAAACACGGTTTGCATCTGTTTTATGGAGAGACCCACTAACCAATGTGTGGAATGGCCCTGATCCAGTCCTTATCTGGGGACGAGGTTCAGTGTGTGTTTACTCTCAACAAGATAGAGGAGCTAGATGGCTACCTGAACGCCTCGTAAAGCAAGTAGACAATTCTTCAAAGACCCCATGTAACGCCCAGGAATAATGTTATTTCCTGAGGCACAATCCCCTGTGTTCTCTTACAGGTGACACATCTCCCTGGAGCCTTATGCTGCTTAACCAGCCTTCTTGAGCCACACCACACCCATGGTGGATTTTGACCCCTGCCAAACAGACTGCAACTGCTGACAGCCATGCACAGAACCCCATGACTGTGGAAGAGGCTCTTCTCGGTCTGGAGGAACATACGCCAGCCAAATAGACTGCATCCAGTATTATTCAAGGCATGCTCCAAGACACAGGAGAATGACTTCATACAGAGACACCAACAAATGACTGTCAACCCCTTCTCCTTGATTTTGGGGGGGGGGAGTTTTTCCCTTACCTAGTCCCACTTTTGGGTCCCCTAGCTGACCTATTGTTTCTCATTTCTGTGAGTCTTGTATTTTTCAGAGGATTATGATGTTCATTAATAACCGGATAGACGCATTTATGGCAAAGCCCATTCAGGTACACTACCATCAGCTGGAGATGACAGATCAACAAACCTACAGGGAAGGAATTCCCACGAGTGGCCCATATGATGATGCGGCCTGACTGCCCTGGGGCAATGGACAGGCAGTCAGAGACGGGCAACTAGGACATGCATGTTAATTCCAACGGCCACCTAAGACAGGCACAGGACCAACTGCTGTTCTGCAAGCCCATGACGGGTAAGGCCTGGTTGGGTTCATGCAATGAGGTCCTTGACCTAAGACAGACGCTGTCCTCACAGGGCCTGCCATACTCTTAATTAAATAATATAAAAAGGGAGGAGATGTAGGGAGCCGAGTGACAGGCATTGCTGCCTAGATGTCTCTCTCTCTCTCTCCTATGGGCACTGCGTCTGCCTACATTAACCATAATCCTCTTCTGCTTACGTCACTTATCCGGATGTGATGGTAACCCTGTTGTATTCATCTGTTTAACCTCTTCCTGTCCCAGCTCCCACCCTTAGCCTATAAAAGGTGTGATTATTTTCTCAATAAACCGGAGGCTTGATTGGGTTAACATCAACTTGCCTTCGTCTCTTTTTGTCTCCCCCATGTCTTTTGTTTAATCCCCGTTTCTCCTCCAGGAGTTCCGAACTTGTTGATCTGCAGGCCGGATCAGTCTAGGCAGTCCCAAAACTTACCAAGCGCAGTCCAGCATGGCCACAAGCCAGGTGGGTCCCTGACCACCTGCAGCAAGTCTCTCAAACTCTCCCGGGGTTTAGGTGGTGTGCAGGAACCTACCTCCTTGGGTAGTGAAGCTCCCCAGAGTGAAAGAAGGTCACCGGGCATGGCCCAGGCAGGCCCCAAACCTCCTCCACTGTGCAGCTCCCTCCTCTGGTGGCAGCAGCTGTGGTGAATCTCCCTGGACTAAGAGATGGTCACCAGTGAGGCAGGGGTAGGCCCTGAACCCCCTGCACAGTACAGGTCCCTCCTCCAGTGGCAGCAGCGGCAGTGAAGCTCCCTGGACTGCGAGAAGGTCATTGGCGTGGTGAGGGTAGTCCCCAAACCTGCTCTGCCACCCAGCTCCCTCCTCTGGTGGCACCAGGGGCTACAAAGCTCCCCAGACTGAAAAAAAGGTCACTGGGGTGGTGTGGGTAGGCCCTGAACCTCCTCCCTAAGTTCCAGGATTATCCCTAGAATATTAAAGATGTAGGATCTTGAGACAGACTCAAAAGCTAAACCCAGCAAAATCTAGAAGACATATTTGAAAAATAGCCATTTCTAAAGAGGTTTCAGTACTAGTAATAATGCTACTTACCATGTATAATTTACAAGCATCAACCGAGAAAACTAATTTTAAAAAAATGTGAAAACACAGATGGAAAATGTAACTTCAGAATTCCAGCTCATCCTAGGCAAATCCAGGGAGCAATGAGATGGAAGAAATCAAAAGCCACCCAGCTAAACTTGCTGAAATGGTAGCAGCCGAAGTGACAAAGCACACGACTAAAATTCTAGAAAAAAAATCAGGAACAATTTCTCACTTAAATAAAGAGATAGTGACTACAATGAAGGCCATGTTTAGTGAATCTAGAATACACACAGATAAAAAAATTGGGAACTTAAGAAAATCCTAGAAACTATAAATGTCCAATGTAGCAAATAAATGAATGCCTTAAAACAGATTCAAACAGAGATCAAGGAGATAAAAAATCCTATAGAAAGAAAACTCAGCAGGATCAACCAATGTAAAGACAGAATATCAGATCTACAAGACACATTTGTGCTTAACAATCATCAAATGAAAGACTTCTTATAATTAGCAAGAGTCCACAGAAAACAATCCAAAAACTATAGATGATGTAAAGAAGAATAATGTAAGACTGGTCAGAGTAAATGAAAAAGCAGAAAATAGCGCAAATGATATAAAAAATCTGTTCACAAAATTAGTGGCAGAAAACTTCCCAACCACTGAAAAAGAATTAGACATACAAAGAAGTGAGGTATGCAGTTCTTTAATTAGCCATAATCAGAAAAAAAATTTGGGGTGAGGTATAAAACAGTCAAGATTACAGAAATTCAGCATAAGAACAAAGTATTAAAAGCAACTTGAGAAAATAAACTAATCACCCATTAAGGAAAGCCTATCAGAATCACAGAAGATTTCTAAATATAGATTCCTTAATCAAGGAGAGCCTGGAGTGAAGTATTTTAATCACTAAAACAGAACAACCTCCAGCCCAGATTGATACATCCTGCAAACTATCTTTCAAAATTGATAGAGAAGTAAGATATTTCCATGACTTCAGAAGAAATTCATGACTATCAAACCAGCACTCGAAAATATTCTGAAAGTTATTCTAGAAATAGATAACAAATACAACAATTACAGCAACTCCAATAGAATGAAAGCAGACTATGTAAGGATTAAACAGAGGGGACAGAAATGGAATTAACAACAGGAAAATAAGATGGTGAAGATAAGTCAGTACATATTATTTTTAACCATCAATGTAAATCATCTCAATTCACCAATCAAAAGAAACAGATTAACAGAATGGATCAAGAAACAAGATCCAACAATATGCTACAAAAAAGCAACACATATAACTAAAAAAGAAATTCAGAGTTTGAAAATCAAAGGATGAAGAAAAATACTCCATGCAACAGAAATCCAGAAGAAGGCATTAGTGGATCTTCTATTTGTAGATAAAATATATTTCAAGACAAAATTGATCAAGAGATAAAAAAGGTCACTACATACTTGCTAAGGGAACAATTCAATAGGGAAAGATAACAATTATAAATATATATGCACCAAATATTAGTGCATAGAACTATATAAAACAAGTATTATCAGATATGAAAAATCAAATATGCTTTAATACAATTGTAATGGGTGACCTCAATACCCTATTGTCACAAATAGATCAACTAGACCAAAAAAATCAACAGAGATAATCAGAGCTGAACCAAATCTTTGAACAAATGGACTTAGAAGATGTCTACAGAGTTCTCTACAACAACAGAATCAACATTTTTCTCAGTTTCATAAGGGTCTTCCTCCAAAATGGACCACATACTAGCACATAAAACATGCTTAACTAATGCAAAAGAATTAAAATTATCCCACTCATATTATCAGACCATAACACAATGAAGTTGGAAATAAACGGTAAACAAAAATACAAAAACATGAAAAGTAACACCCTCCTGAACAACCAATGGGTAACAGATTAAAGAAGAAATTAGAGAATTTCTATAATTAAACACCAATGACAATATAATATATGAGAACTTATGGAATGCAGTGAAAGCAGTCTTATGAAAGAAATTTATAATGGTGAAATCCACATAAGAAAAACAGAACAAGATCAAAAAACAAAATGTAATATTGAAGCTCAAGCTTCTCAAAAAAGAACAAGTCAAGCCCAAAGCTCATATGAGGGAGGAAATTATAAAGATCAGAACAAAAGTTAATGAAATGGAGACCAAGAAAACAATGGAAAGAATCATGAACTGAAGAGTTGTTTTCCTGAAAGATTAAAATACACAAACCTTAGGAAACCTTACCATAAAGAGGAAAGAAAAGAATCAAATCTATGTAATTAGGTGTGAAAAGGGTAAAATCACAACACCTTCTACAGAAATCCAGATCATCAATATCTATTTCAAGAATATGTACTCTACTAAGATGAAAAATGCAGAAGAAATTAATTTGATACATATGAATTAACAAATCTGAATCAAGAAGATATAAAAATTCTAAATAACCCAAACAATAGTCAATGAAACTGAAGATGGAACTTTAAAAAAACTACCACCACCACCAATGACAATAAAAAAGACCACATCCTGGTGGATTCATTGCTGAATTCTACAAGAAATTTAGAGATTTATTGCCATTATTGCCAAACTCTATAATGAAATTGAAAGGGTAGCAATATTCACAAACCCATTCCTGGAAGCAAGCATTATGCTGTACTAAAACCAGAGAAGAATCCAACCAAAAAAGAGAACTATAGGCCAATCTTCCTAAATGACATAGTTGCAAAAATCCTCAATAAGAAACAGGCAATAAGAATGCAGCAAATCATCCAAAAGATTGTACACCGTGACCAAGTAGGATTCATCCCTGGGATGCAGGGGATGGTTCAACATATACAAATCAATAAATGTACTGCACTGTATTAATAGAGCCAAGGACAAAAAAAAAAAAAAAAGCCCCACATGATCATCTCAATAGATGCAAAAAGAAAGCATTTGACAAAATCCAATATTCATTTATGATAAAAACCCTACAGAAAATTGGAATATATGGCCTTTAACTCAATCTGATAAAAGAAATCTGTGACAAACCAATAGTCAATATCGTACTAAGTTGTCAAAAACTGAAAGTTTTCACCATAAAATCAGGAGCAAGTCAAGGATGCCCATTGTCACCACTCCTGTCCAATATAGTTCTGAGAGCATTAACAGAGTTATTAGATAAGAGAAAGAAATAAAAGGAATGCAGATAGTAAGGGAAGAAGTAAAATTATGATTATTTGCTGATGACATGATACTCTACATAAAAGACCTCCAAAACCCCACCAAGAAACTCCAATATTTAATAGTCAAATTCAATAGTATAACTGGATATAAGATTAACACTCAAAAATTGATAGCATTCTTATACACAAATAACAAACTCACTGAGAAATTAAGGAAAAAACACCTCTCACAACAGCATCAAGAAAAATGAAACACTTAGTAATTAATCTCATAAAAGAAGTAAAAGATCTCTACACTGAAAACTACAGTACTCTGGAAAAGGAGATCAAAGAGGATTTCAGAAAATGCAAAGATATCTCTTGTTTTTGGCTATGCAGAATGAACATAGTGAAAATGGCCATGTTTCTAAAATTGTTGCACAGATTTAATACAATTCCAATCAACATACCTCAGAAAACTAGAGAAAACAATTCTAAAATTCATTTGTGAGCAGAAGAGACTTAGAATGGTGAAAGCAATTCTGGGCAACCAAGGAAAAGCAGTGTGCATCACAATATCTGACTTGAAGTTATACTATAGAGCTACTGTTGTTTAAAAAAAATATGGCACTAGCAAAAATCTGGCCTGCAGATCATTGTATCAGACCACAAGATGCAGAATAACTCCAAACACATTCAGTCACCTTACCTTTGGCAAAAGGGCCAAACATGTTTACTGGAAGACAGATAGCCTCTTTAATAATAGTGCTAGAAAATTTGGCTTTCTGCATGCTGAGGATTAAACATAGATCCATATCTTATGCACTAAACTAAAATCAAAATAGATGAAAGATCTAAATATGAAAACAGAATTACTAAATCTTCTGGAGATAGAGCAGGTAGAACTATTGAAGACATAGTCTAGGCAAATACTTTGTGAATAAAACCCTGGTTGCACAGGAAATATTCAAAGAATCAACAGTTGGGAATCTCATCATACTTAGAAGCTTTGCATAGAAAAAGAAACCAGCAACAGAGTGAAGAGCTAGCCCACAGATTGGGAAGAAATTTTAGCCAATTGTTCCTCTGACAAAGGACTAATATCCACATT